GGGGGCAGGGGGAGGGCTTCGTCCCCGGGACCCTCCCCAGCAGGACCCCTGGTTTCTGGGACTCACCCCTTCCGGCCCATGGGAATGGAGGGGGACCCGACCTGACGTTTGGACGGAACACCTGGTGCAGGGCCATCACGCTTCTGGTCGGTTGGGTCATGGAGATGTTGAAGGCTCCCTGAGTCTCCCAGGAAACTGCCAAATACCCCTGGGAGAGGGAACCCCCCATTCCCACCGCCCCCCCCCCAGAAACCGTTAGCAGCCAGCTTCCTGATCCTGGGAATCAGGAGCCAGGTGAGTACCGAGGGACCCGGAGACCAGGGTCTGGGAGCTGTGGCTCCCCCTCTCTCCATGGTCCCCAGCATCCGCCCTGAGCCCGGCATGCAGTGGGCAACAGAGCAGCCGAGGGACGCTCCCGGGAAGCACTTGGAGTGCCCGCGTGGTGGCTGAGGGTCTGTCGCGCTGAGCTGTGACGGCTGCCATCTCTGTGACCTTGCACTCGTGCTTTCTGAATCTGTTTCCTCGACATCTGCCATGTGAACAAGTGAAGCCCCTCACTTCACATGTGTGTGTGCGTGTGTGTAAAATAATCTGGATGCACACAGGGGCAGGTCTGCCAAAATAGAATCATGCAAGGTTGTCTAATTCTTTTTCTGAGATTATGACATTACTGGGGAAATCCACCTCTTTTAGGAAATAGTGGTGACAAGCCGGGCACTGGTGGCTCACGCCTGTAAGCCTTAGTTACTCAGGAGGCTGAGATCTGAGGATCAAGATTTGAAGCCAGCCCTGGCAGGAGAAGTCCATGAGACTCTTATTTCCAGTCAACTACTCAAGAAAAATAACAAAAGTGGTATTGTGGCTCAAGTGGTGGAGCACTAGCTTTGAGCACAGAGAGTCCCTGAGTTCAAGACCCAGGACTGGGAAAGAAAGAAAGAAGGAAAGAAAGAAAGAAGGAAGGAAAGAAAGAAAGAAAGAAAGAAAGAAAGAAAGAAAGAAAGAAAGAAAGAAAGAAAGAAAGGAAGGAAGGAAGGAAGGAAGGGAGGAAGGAAGGGAGGAAGGAAGGGAGGGAGGAAGGAAGGGAAGGAAAGGTGGTGATAGCTGATGGGAGCTGTTTGTTTTAATGTCCTTAAAAGAATCAAGCACCCTAGTTTCAATACTCTGTGGGGGAGGGGGAGAGAAAGGTGGGGAAAGGGAAAGGTTGTGAGGCTTGAACTCAGGGCCTGGGCGCTATCCCTGAGCCTCTGTGCTCAAGGCTAGTGCTCTACCATTGAGCCACAACACCACTTCTGTTTTTTTTCTGAGTAGTTTGTTGGAGATAAGAGTCTCATGGACTTTCCTGCCAGGGCTGACTTCAAAGTGTGATCTTCAGATCTCAGTCTCCTGAGTGGCTAGGGTTACAGATGTGAGCACCCAGCACCCAGCTTCAATCCCAGTTTTCAAGAAGAGAAATTAGGGGTCCATGAAATTCCACATGTGGAGAACTCAAAGTCACATGAATTCAATTACATAGGGCCTGAACACAGGGTACTCAGTGGGTCTGGCTTTCAGATACACTGTCTTTGGAGATGGTGCTCTGGTGTCTTCTGAGAGCTATGCCAGGATGCTGAGCTGGAAGCCCAGGAATGTCTTCTACATTCTCTCCTACTTTACAGATGGGGAACAGGAGCCAGAGAAGAAAATGGACCAATCACAGTTCGAAGCCAGCACGGGCAGGAAAGTCTGTGAGGCTCTTTTCTTCAAAAATCTGGAAGTAGAGTTATAGCTCAAGTAATAGAGCACTATCCTTTCATTTCTTTTTCGTTTTTCTTTTCTTGTTGCTGTGAGACTGAGACTCGAACTCAGTACCTGACACTTTGCTCACTGGCTGGTGTGCTACTAACTGAGCCAAGCCTCCAACCTCAAGAGCACTAATCTTGAGCAAAAAAGCTCAGGGACAAGCACTCAGGTTCTGAGTTCAAGTCCTTAGGACTGGCACAAAAAATAAATTAGGGCTGGGAATGTGGCTTAGTGGTAGAGTGTTTGCCTACCATGCATGAAGCCCTGGGTTCCATTCCTTAGTACCACATACACAGAAAAAGCCAGAAGTGGCGCTGTGGCTCACGTGGTAGAGTGCTTGCCTGGAGCAAAAGAAGCTGAGGGACAGTGCCCAGACCCTGAGTTCAAGCCCCAGGACTGGCAAAAAATAAAATAAAAACAAATTAATCTTCAAGTAGTTGTATAAAGGGGCTTCAATTTAACATGCTCATTTATGTGTATCATGCTACCAGTCTCCTCTCCCATCATTTTCCCCACTGTCTGCCCAATGCTGGGGTTTTTGAAATAAAAGAATGCCTGAATAAGTGAGCTACTCCTTATGTACTAAAACCAAAAGACAACAATCTGAGGCCCATCTTTGCCATTAGATAACTTCTTTTTCCACTCAGTGCTGGCACTCTACTACTTGAGCCACACCTTCTTTTTGCTGGTTAATTGGAGATGTGTCTCTCAGATTTGTCTTCCCAGGCTGGCTTCAAACTGTGATCTTCAGATCACAGCCTCCTGAGTAGCTAGGATTACAGGCATGAGCCACAAGGTGCCTAGCTTGTGTGTTTATTCTTATATGCCAGCACCACATTGCCTTGAAGGAAGAAATGGCTTTAGTATTTAAATCTTTTTTTTTTTTTTTGTCAGTCATGGGGCCTGATCTCTGGGCCTGGGCACTGTCCCTCAGCTCTTCAGCTCAACGCTAATACTCTACCACTTGAGCCACAGCACCACTTGCAGATTTTTCTGCTTGTGGTGCTGAGGAATCCAACACAGGGCCTCATGCATGCAAGGCAAGCACTCTACCACTGAGATACCTTCCCAGCCCCCTACTATTTTAAATCTTTTTTTTTGTCGGCCGTGGGGCTTGAACTCTGGGCCTGGGCGCTGTCCCTCAGCTCTTCAGCTCAAGGCAAGCGCTCTACCACTTGAGCTACAGTGCCACTTCCGGTTTTCTGGTGGTTAATTGGAGATATGAGTCTTACGGACTTTCCTGCCTCGGCTGACTTCGAACCATAATCCTCAGCTTCTTGAGTAGTTAGGATGAGAGGTGTGAGCCACTGGCTCAGAGCATTGATTTCTAACATAGATTACTGGTGGTAAGCAGGAAGTGCCTGAATTTTATTCCTATCATTTGTGTCTACCCTTGCATTTTAAAAACATGCATAATTAACAGAAGAGCTGAAATACATGGAGATCTCTACTCCTGCCCAGAAATGGATCTGAATACAATACTCTTCCATTTTCATTATCATCGTTGACTATTTTCAGTTGCAACTTCTATTTAAAGCCCCTTAATGTGTAATGTTTTAGTCAGGTTTATTGAGGTATAATTTAGCTACAGTAAAATACACCCTATTCAGCACTGAGCAACATACATGGTTGTGTAACCACTGTAATTAAGTTCGGAACAATTCCATCATCCCCAAACTCCCCACCGTCACTGTGAAGTTGTGTCTGCATTCCACTGGGGCCCTGGGCCACTATTTATTTCCTACCGTTTATATAATGTCACCTAAGTGGCATACATTAATATGCACCCTTTTGAGTCACTTGGCTAATATGTTAGGAGTTCAGCCATGTTGTATTACTGGTTGATCCCATTTTTTTAAGGGGTACTGGGGTTTGAACTCAGTATCTCACTTCTTCTTTTTTTGGGGGGGTCCGGTCATGGGGCCTGAACTCTGGGCCTAGGCACTGTCCCTCAGCTCTTCAGCTCAAGGCTAGCGCTCTACCACTTGAGCCACAGCGCCACTTCCAGTTTTTTTTCTTTCTGCTTATGTGGTGCTGAGGAATCGAACCCAGGGCCTCATGCATGCAAGGCAAGCGCTCTACCACTGAGCCACCTTCCCAGCCCCTCATTTATTCTTCTTGTTAAGCCATGCCTCCAGTTCTGTTTTTCACTGGTTATTTTTTGTGTGTATGACAAT